CCGGATATCCGCATCCGCGCGGATATCCGGATGCAACGGGGCCATCTCTAACAGAAGACATTATTAACATCCTAGAAGATATAATTACTAGGACTAAGATTGGAAGAAGATACAAACCTGTAAGGAGTAACTACATGAGTAGAACAGACTCTAAAGGGTATGTCAACACTAACAATCAAAAGGAGTCCACCAAAGATGCAAATCCCAATAAGGATAAGAAGTGCTACACCTGCCAAAAAATGGGACACACCTCCAATAACTGCCCACAGAAGAAGAAATCTGTGAACCACATAGAGGTTCAAGAAGAACAAGAAGATAAAACAGAGGAAGAAGAAGAAATTGAACAAGATTTTGATGATGGATCTTCCATATCTAGTGTATCTAATAATATGATCCAAGCAGACCTGGACATTGCTGATGTAGTGTTTGAGAGCCAATTACCAATGGAATGGCAACCAGGACAACAGATCACCAATGTATCAGAAGCAAGAATCATGAAAACAAAACCCTCCACAGGCAGAGGGTATACAGCAGGTAAATCAAACCTTATAAAGTGATATTTCAAGAACAAGAAGCAGAATTGCTACTAGACAGTGGAGCATTCTGTTCTGTGGTGTCTAAGAAATATATACAGAAAATGTACCCAGATTTTGAAGAAAAATTATTACCCATAGGTACTCTAAAACTGAATAGTGCCAGTAATACCATGAAACCTCTAGGGATTTTTCCTTGCCCTTTGATCATACCACTCCCAGCAGGATCAGTAAGGATCCAAGTGGAATTTATAGTAGTAGAGGATGGAGTTAGTAACTACTTTATCCTAGGGAATGATTACCTAACTATTTATGGATTTGACATTAACAACAGCAGGGAAAGGTACTTTACCATAGGTAATGATAATAAAAGGAAGAAATTTTCTTTTAAAAACAGAGAAATACTGAGTATACAGAAAATTTCAAGAAACCCAGAACTAGAGGACTTTATTAACTCACAACTGGTGGAGAGCAAAATTTCCACAGAATTATCTACAGAACAGACAGCTGCATTACATGAAATGCTGTTCAAACACAAAAATGCTTTTGCTTCTGACAAAGAACCTTTAGGAGCAGTGATAGGACATGAAGTGGATATTACACTCAATATTGATAGACCCTACCCACCACTGTTGAGGAGGCCAGCATACCCAGCCAGTCCCAGGGCTAGGGAAGAGCTTGAAAAACATATTGAGGAGCTCATCAGGCTGAATGTACTCAGTAAGATTGGCCATAATGAGGAAGTAGAAATTACCACTCCTGTTATAATCACGTGGCAAAACAATAAATCCAGAATGGTAGGAGACTTCAGAGCTCTTAATACATATACTGTTCCAGATAGATACCCCATACCTAGGATATCAGAAGCATTGACTAGGGGGTTGATAAGCGCACGCCAATCTGCACGCCATTGCAGAATGGCGTGCAGGCAGGCACGCCACTGCCTGCACGGGGTATACCCTGAAGGCTGGCGTGCCTGCCTGCACGCCCAATATTTGGTCCTAAACGCATATTTATATGCGTTTAGGACCTGGGCTGTCCCATAGGACCCAGGCATGGGTCCTATGGGATGGCCCCGCCATTGTTTTTTTTTTTTTTTTTCTTTTTCTTTTCT